TCCTTGAGGCCAAGAACAAGGCTGCTGCTCCTTGTCCAATGGAGAGCAAATTATTAACAGTCCACACACATGAACCTTTCCTTAAGATAACAACTGAGTGTTACTAGTCATTTCTCTAAAGTTCACTGCATTCAATTATTATTTCGATTTATATCCTATCCTATTCAGAAAGGTTTAGAGTGGCTTCCAATAAATAACAAAGAGAAGGTATGGCAGGATGGCACCTTAGGCTGGATCCAGACATGCAGAAATTGCTTCTGTGGCACTGCAAACCTCTTTCCAGCACCACAAACAACAAGCATTTCACGTTAAACAGTGCAACAAAACAACCCACGTGTAAGAAGCAACAGTAGATTTCACAAAAAAAATAGCCCCAAACTTGAAATGCCTTCTCAGTCACTTCCCAGCCCTTAAGAATGGCCCCTCTGGCCAGTTCCCCCCCAAATCTCATTTAAATATAAAACCACTTTTGCCACTTTCACCTACCCTATGCCTACCCCCTCCCACTCCTCTGGCCCCCCAAGCCAGAAGGGAGATCCCTCCCTCCTCTCCCAAAGTCCCTCCCAGCCGTGCTGCCCTCTCCAACAGAGGGTGTGGCTGTGCAAATAACTCCCCAAAAACCACAATATTAAATTCAATGGTGCCTCCCTCCAAAGAATAGAATTTTTCCTCTTTCTTGAGGGGAAGTTGTGCTATAATCAAGGCTCTGAAGTACCAGTTGTAGAACGAAGCAGCGCAACAAAGTCCTAAAAGCATCTGTAACTAATTCCTTACTGTTCTTGATTCCCAACCAGTTGGGAATGATGGGAATAGTTTCAGAGCTCAGTTTTAGTCATTACCTACAAGCACTTCTAAATGGAAATCACTCTGAGCCATCCTAGCTGCTGTCAAAGCCGAAGGTTGTCTTACTGTAGCGAAAATAGATACTTTTCTCTATGGTTCTTTCTTCCTTGTTTTAGTATTAACCCCTGCATTCTGTAACTTTCCACCCACATGGTACAGGATGGCCCACTACGTATGTCTTATAGGTTGCTCAGGTTTTGGTTTGAAATGACCAATCAAAATGTAACACGTCAACTGAAAAAAATGCTAGCTCAATAAAAGCCACGTGCGCTCTTTGTTTAGGGTCGACACTGATCTGAGCAACAAGCTCCTCTGTCGGCCTGCTTGCAAGCAATAAAATAGAGTTGGATCCAGCCTGAAAGTGTGACTCTTCTAGAGGTGAATTGGACTAGCCTCCAGGGGATAAAATCAGCAATTTATGCAACATTACCTCCACAGATTTTCCAGATGCATGTATAACTTCAGGTTACATTCTCCACTGAAATAATGATCATACTGGTTTCTTCACAAGGGCCAGTAAGGTAAAAACTGACTGCAGTGGGCTGTTGCTAGCACTTTGAATGAAAACAGCTTTATAAAACCAAGCCTGCTGGTACTCCTTGGTTACTTTTAAAAAAAGGGTTTGGGACATGCACATAAACCTAGAATTTCTCAGGTACAGAAGTTGTGTGCGCTCCTGGTGATGATTCCTTATTTATCAACAATACATGTTAACATTTCCCATTTCAAAGTGGTAACAGTGATACCATCTGAGGATCAGACTTTTGGAGGGGGCGATGCCCAAAAGGGGTCAATGGAAGGTACAAATTCTGTTGTGTTTCCTAGTATATCTTTGTGCAGATATACTAGGAGAGAAACAAATGAAAAAAATTAAGTACAGCAGAACCCACATCATTCGTATCTCAGTGGCTTGCAGTTGGCTTAGTTTGCAGTGAGTTGCTGAGTTAAGGATGAACGGTTTATTGCTGCCTTGAGCACCTCAGTGGTCCTGAGCAGCCATTTGCTGCAGCTCTGCAAGTCCTTGGTTCATTTGCAAACCCTCATCTTCACAGCAGAGTTAGTATCTTAACCCCAGGTGCTCTTGGGCAGGGGTGGGTAATCATTTCAGCTGGAGGGCCACTTGAGTTCTGGTGAGCTGTCAAGGGCCTCAAGGATAGCCCTGCCCCTTCATAGGTGCCCTGCCCCCTGGTCGCCATCTTGGGACCAGAAGTCCTGCACCCCTAACTCCCGACCTTTACCACCAGAAGTCCTTCCCCTTGCCACCAGAAGTGTTCCCTGGGGGGGAGGGAGTTGCCATGTTGGAACCCGAAAAAAACCAAATCATATACTAAAAGTCAGATGTCTACTATAACATTTTAATTTCATTTAAAAAAATATTTTTGTCCTGATTTGAGACTAAGTACATAAAGTGAAAAAACCTGAGGCTGAATCAATTCAGTCTTTGCAGGTTAGTCTAAACTGCAGAGATTAAACTGAAACAGAAATGAACATTTCCCTTTGATTCAGGACATGCAGCCACATGCCTGCAGTGGCTCAGGCCAGGCGCTGGGGGGCACTAGAGCACAGCTCTCTAGCATGTAGCCAGCATGGGCTGTGTGTTCACTTCCTCTTCCTGATGCCCCTAAGGTCTCTGGGATTTGCAGTCCAAATTCATAGCATCAGGGCTCTGCAGGGCTGCTCATCACTTCCTCTTCCTGCTTCCAGGTGTCTTTGGGAATTGTAGTCCACAGTTGCAGCCAGCAGTAAGTCTGAGCAGGGGAGGGGATGTTTAACCCCCCTCCCTGGCCCCGGACCCGGACCCGGGCCAGTGTTTGTCTGAGGGGAGAGGGGGCAGTCCTCACCCCTGGAAACTGGGCTGCATCCCTAGCTGGGCTTACCTCCCTACCTCCTTGTCAGCCAGCTCTCACTGCTCCAGCTAGGGAGCAGAGGGACAGGGGCAGCCCTGCTCTCTGGAGCAGACAGCACAGCCTAGCCCACAGCTGCAAAGCATGTTGAGATGCTGGGGGACTGTGACTGAGGGGTGTGTGTATATGTGGAGGGGTGTGGGTAGGGTGTCAGGGATGGTTGGGGGGTGTAGGGACCCCCTCCCATGCTCCCCTATGGCACACAGTCCCTGCTGCTGGTGGCAGCAGCAGCAGGCAGAAGCTCCATGGGGTGCTCCTGGCCCACACACTT